ACCTAGGAGGGCAAGGAGCAAAAACTGTCCTTTATGTCCCTCTGACCAAATTATTATAGGCCTCAAAGTATGTATGTTAAACATCCAAGAAGGTTAGTTCCACCAGTCTGGTACTTTTAATTACTGTGTGTCATGTAGATAAATCTTGGGCAAAGACCAATTGTTCTCAGATAAACCTTACCTAGACATATCTTTCTTGATCTGCTATGTATAATTTGTCAGTAGGTTGTTAGAGTAATATGGTTCCCTCTGGTTTTCAAAAGTAGCTAGGCATTATTTATCTCTCACACTGTCTCACCCTTCCATCATTGTTTTCCCACTTAAGGTGCCCCCAATTTCCCCCTTTCTCCCTTAATAATGCCCTTCTCCCATGGTCCTACCTCTCTTGAGCGCCTTCTTTCCCTTTATCCCCTAGGTTCCTTGTATGCCCTTCCCTTTCCCCTCCCTTAAACTAACCCAATTTTTATCCGTATCTCCCTTATTAAGGCCTGTTTCCTACTGTTCTTCTCTTTCAGGTTCTTTCTTTTCCTTTACCTTCTTGGTTCCTTTCCATTATCCTGTTTTCTGTAGTTATGTTGGATACATACTCACTTATCAGGGTTTGGTTCTACGATTCACATATGAGGGAGAACATATGTCGATTTTTTTTCTGAGTCTGTGTTACTTCACTTAGTTTAACAGTTTCTAGTTCCATCCATTTGCCTGCAGATTTCATGATTTCATCCTTCTTTACTGCTGAGTAAAACTCCATCGTATAAATGAACCACATTTTCATTATCCACTCGTCAATTGAGGGACACTTAGGTTGCTTCCATCTCTTCGCTATTGTGAAAAGAGCAGCAACAAACATGGATGTATAAGTGTCTCTGCAGTAGGATGAGTTCTTTGGGTATATGCCAAGCAGTGGTATAACTGGGTCTAATGGTAGGCTCATTTGTAGTTTTTTAAGAGTTCTCCACCATGCTTTCCATAGGGGTTGAACAAGTTTGCTGCCCCATCAGCAGTGGGTGAGTGTTCCCCTTTCCCCACATCCTCTCCAATATTTGGTA